GAATACTCTTTTCTCTAACATGCCTAGTGCTGTCCCTTTGTCCCCTCATCCTCCGTCGCCCTCCTCTCCGGTCCCACCTTCCTAGTGTTCAGCCTTTCTCTCTTCTGGCGTTGCCTTCGCACCTGCACTGCATACAACTAGTGACACAGGGTATAGCTGCACTTTTAAGTGGGGATGGTAGGGTAAACAAGTCATCTTCGTTTTAATTTTGTATCTCAAGGACTACTGCATGTTTTATTGCGAAATTTTATCTAGTGAATGGATACACTTTTGGGATTAACTTTCTGTTACTTTTTTACGAAAGAGTTTTTTATATTTTTAGTAACGAAGTGTCACATCTTAAGCTGAGTTCCAGTTTTTATTGTACCTTTTAAAAAAAAATAAAAAATAGGATGCTCATTTAATTTGGCATATATCTTCTGCATGTTACTGGCTCTGAACTGAACCGAAAAGAAAATTAATTTGAACATGTAGCATGCAAGAAAGAAATATTGTTCTTTCTAGTCATAAGCCCAGTGATGCAAGTGCTGCGCCATTTGTGCCAAATTGCGCCACGAACGAAAGTCAGCTATATCTCGTGCCAAAGCGTCATTTTCGCTCAAAATTGCTTCATAACTGCGCCAGGATGGGCTTAAAGCAAAATATTAAAGTAATTTAATATTGGTCAGACCTAATATTTAAAAAAGTAGACGAAAAAAAGGAAAAAAATGGTAAGAATATATTTCACGGTGGTCTGAGCACAATCGAAAGCTTGAATGCATACAAGCTCGAACACACATGTGCGAGTTACGGGGCATTCACTGCACCCGATTGGTTTAGCCAATGAAAAAACTCGTACAGGGAGATGAATGCCATGATGTCGTGCCTTTATGCCGTTTGATTGGTCCCATTGGCTCGTAGAGTTGGCTGTAGTGTCGACATCAGGTGAAACAAAGTATAGGGATTGTTCGTCAATCACTCTGGCTGGTTGATGCGCTGGCCAGTTGATAGTCGACATTGTCTGAATTAGCAGACGAGATCTGCGAGGTCAAGACTACAAGTCTCGAGAAAACTTTGCAAAAGAGTAGGATGGTGGTACACTGTGATAAGACAGAACCAGGATCTTGTGCTTTTGGTGAAATCACTGGACTGTCATGTCTGCCACATGCCTTTGTGCGGTGACTGCAGAGTACCGTGGCACTTGCGCCACTCCGGTCAACCTTCACTACATCTCGCCCCACACGAGCGTGCATGCGTCGGGCTTCACCGCTTTGCACTGGAGTGCTAGAAGCAGCGACTGACCTGTTGGAGGGTTAGTGCAAGAGGCACGGAATTCATTCTCAGGATTATTACAGATCGACCTTCTTTGTCTTCATAGCAGATTAATCTCTAAAAATAATTGAAAAAAAAACAGCAAGAAAAAAGATAAGGAGAAAAAAAACCTAGAAAAACACAGCTCTATATTTGAATAAATATGGTGGTTCTTGTGCAGCTGTCGAATGAACAAGCAGCCAACTTTGATTTAACTCTAGTTCCAACGCCGCTGAAGAGCAGTGTCACGTTTAAAGGGGTACTTTGGCCGTTTTTTGAGCCACCTAAACAAATAGCATTTTCCGACTACCCGCACTTCAGTCGTCATGGTATGCTATTTATTTTCTCGAAATTCAAAATAGCAATTGAGAAAACCGTAAATGCAGATGATGCCGAACCCAGCATTCAAATTTTCACGCGCTTTTATGTGGTGTGACGTCGCACATGGTACAGACTTTCAGGTCGTGCCTGTAGTCTTAAACAGAGTATGTCGAGTGTTTTTTGCGTGCTTCTCAGTGAATCAGTTGCCAAACATTCTTTTCCCACCATCAAACGTCTTGTAATCAGTTGGGAACATGGCTTACTGCCCACTTTGTACCATTTCTGTCGTCACACTTCAATGTTGCCAGTAGGGGCTCCCGGTTTGAGAAACGTGATGAAAACGAAAATCGAAAATTCAATAACTTTGCGAATTTCTTTTCTTTTCACACAATACTTGGGGAACTCGTAGAGCCATGTCTATCAGCGTGTTGAGCCAATTTTGAGGCAACTCAGTGACCATGAAAAAACCGCTGGAGTCACAAGTGTAGGCTTTGACAATATTTATCAGTGGTTTTTGTAGTTTTTGATATCAGAGTTTTGAGTTTGGCAGGTTCATAAAACTTCGCGGACGCGTTTTTATTGGAGTAGCGGATATGCTGGTTTTTGCTGGCATTTTGCAGAAATTATATTTACAGGCCAATCAGACTACCGAGCGTAGAACGGGGATGGGAAAGAGGCTTTATCGCAACTGAAGGGTTGGGCTACGATTTATTTTTCAACCATTTTCAGTTCCCGTTTTAAATGGACCCACTCTGACCAGAGCCTTATTTAAAAAGAAGGCTATCTGTTCCTTTTGCATCCTATTTATTTTTAGCACGAAATGTGATAAGTAATATTTTTCATTATCTAAGGGGAGCTGGGTATCGTTATCACAGACAAGCTCATTTAGATATGCAATCACCTATTTACATCTGTCTTAAAAGTGTCAGCGGCTGCTCTGTACCAATATTTTGAATGCTACAGAACTTGCTACAAGGGGTTCAAATCCTACTTCCATTACTGTAGGCTATATGGAGAAACTTTTATATTTTAATTTTTTCTTTACGTTATAATGTAGTGAATTTTTAAGACATTTAGGTTCAAACTGTTGGCAAAATATTTTACTATAAGCTGTAAAAGTTTTAGTGTACTAAGATAAGTAGTTTCTTAGTAAAGGTATATCAAATTTCCAAAAATTTCAAAAATGTAATTTTGAGTGCGCGGATCTTGGCGCCATATTTAAGTGGCTTGGGACGCTCGTTCACTCTTGTTGCTTGCTGGTTTTGTTCTTCAGACTGAATATAATGTTTTATCACTAAAACTGCAAAATCGGTTTGAGCAAGAGGCAGCAAATGTTTGGAATATATTTATAATTCTAGTCTCCTATATTTTTAAGTCACTATAGAAAAGCAAACATTTTTAATATATTTGTAATCTCGTCTTTTAGGTTTTTATGACAAGAGGCAAAGCTCTTAATATAGTACAAGGGCAGAAAGATATATAACCGCTTTAAACAAATTGGAATGGCAGTTTCACATAGTTTTGCACCTATGTGGGAAACTGATGTCATCATGCAAAAGTTTTGTAATTTATTTAAAGCAGTTAGGTTCATTTAAGCTCTGTAGCATTTGCAAGTCTAGTCTTTTAAAGACCGACGACCAGTTCGCGCTTTCCACTTTTCCCCCGCTTCCTCCTCTCCCCCCTTCTACGCTGTCCGCCGTTGCCTGTTTCCTCCTCCCCTAGGGTGAGGAGGATATTCTGCCTTGCAGAATCGCGTGTTTGGTCGTCGGCCTTTAAGGCTGTCTTGGCAAGAAGTGAATAGTATTTTTAATATATTTATCATTCTAGTTTCACGCTATGCCAAGAAGCATAAAATCGGCGTGTTTATGCATGCCATATATTTCTAATTTTGTTGTTTCTGGGTTCTTGCACATGATTCTTATAATATATACATAATCCTTTTGTTGTCAAGAAGCAAACGGCGTTTATGATCTTGTATGCATCTTTATAGTGCTTTAATTTACAAAATAAAAAGCTGCGTTACAAAGCTGGAGTTTCTCTGAAATTAAAAATAAGTTGGAAACCTAGCTCGTCAGATAGATTTGTGTAAGAAAATCTACCAAATCATTGCATTTACACTGTCAGCGTTTGACGATGACCTTGAACAAGGTTGCTTGCTGGTTCACCACCTGTGAAAACACACTTCTATACAACTCACTTCTGTGCTTAGTCTCATATTCTGATGTGCATGCATGGTCTAATTGACTTGTATGGTTCTTGTATGAAGCAGGTATATGGAGAAAACTTTTCACCCATATGGTTCCACCATGCTGTTATCGCCTTTTCGCTGGAATAGGATGTCCCCATAATACGTTATGCTTGTATGGTTTTGTCCGCCTGCATGGTTCTGTGCACCTACATTGTTCCGTTGTAATCCACTCCGCTCTTATATGATGTCCCATAATACGGCAGGCTTGTATGGCTCCGTCCGCGTTAATCCACTATGCTGGAGCCGCCTTTTCGCTGGTGTAGGGGGCATTCACTGGGCGCCATATTTGAGGGCGATGTGTAGAGCGCATGCTCGGAATGAGCTCTCATTAATAGGCTGCCAAGACCGGCAACCTGGATGGTGCAGAATGCACGTTGCGGAAGAAGCGTGGAAGCTCGCCATCAGCACGTTCTCAGCAGCCGCGCACACAGCTATGGCCGCCAGTGAATACTCCCTATAGGATGTCCCATATTACGGTTACGCTTGTATGAGGCTGTTTTTCATCATCTTTCCGTCCTCAAGATTTTCCAACAGGGTACAGCATTTACGTGGATTCGCGGAACAAGTCCTGCTATGGTTTGAGTGACGTGTGGCAACTAGTCAACGATGACACTGGTCGATTATCGATAGACCTCTCTCTCGACAGAGAGAGACTTCTCGGGGTTTGTGTTCAAAACTTGCGTGGCGGATATTGCGGGACGTATGGATACGATCGACAGGTCAGAAACAACTTATTTACGGGCTTTCTTGGTCATAGGACGAAAGTAAAGTGCTGGAGTCGATTTTTTTTTTTTTAAATCTCGTGATAGAATGGAATTTTGTTCTTGGTCGTTATTCTTGTGCTGTTGCGTCGACATTTGTAAATATGCGTGGTAATCTAGTTTATAGTGGAAGGTGAATAACAAGTTTGTTGCGATTATTGAAAGTGTGTGGTTTGTGCTTATGTGTTTATTTATACTAATGTTATTTTAATGCCTTTACCATATTTATACTAGAACCTTAACTGTATTAAGGTAATAGTATTATTGTAAAGGTGTTGCCGAAACACACTGCACGGTTACGGCGACGGTAACGCTGCTCAAGTCGGAAATGGGCGCCTAAGAGCTGCGCTCTAAAAAAGAAGCTTGACCACAATGTCCAGGCCCTTTGCTGCCAGCACCAAGAGGAGGCTAGAGAACTACGGGAAGCAAAACAGAGGCTCGAGGAAGACAACGAAAGGCTCACGGAGCTGCTGCAGTCGTCGAAGGAGAGGCTGAAGAAAGCGGAGGAAATGTTAGGTAAGTGATACATACGAAACCTACGGGTCCCCCAGATGGGGGGTTCGAATCCTGGCCGAAATGACCGCAATCTAAGATGCGCAGATGGCGCACGGTTGTATGAATGTCAGGTGGTCGAAATTAATCCTCAGTCGTTTGCTGGGGCCTGCCAGATACCCCTCGTTCGTTTTCACACAAACGCCCCTAATTTATTCAAACACAAGCCATCTCTTAACTCCAAAGAGAGTTTTGGTCGGTCCGTTTCGGGTGACCTTCCGAAGCTGTTGATGTCAAAATTCCTGGGACGATACAGTTCTACGGAAAAAAATCACCAAGTTGGGGATTTAGCAAGGACCTTGTGTTCTGTTATTCGACGAGGTATCAGTCGTTTTACGGTGGTAATAATAATAATAATAATAATAATAATAATAATAATAAAATTTTCAACAAATCTCTCGCAACTAGTCTTTTAGCTAACCAACTGTAGGTCGTAAAATATTTTACGAACGTTGCAAGACGCGGTGCTATATGGTGGATTGTATGTTCTCTCATTTGACCGAAAGTTTGCAGAGACGTAAATTGGCAACAGCGTCTTCTTCCGGCGCTTAAAGGAAAAGATGAGGTATACGAAAGATATCGTTGAATGCGCTCTTACTAGGTAACAAAAACACGCTTTCCATCATATGATGGTGCAGAGTTCAAGTGAAATATTCATCCTCGCGAATAATGTTTCATCCAGTGCTCTTCCAAAGAGCACTGCCGACATGGCAAGAGGTGTTTCCAACAGCATGCTCGTATGCTTTCCGGAAACCGCCCTATGGGTCCACTCTGGATGTTTAATCAGTAGTAGCAGTTGGAATAACGCGCCTAGCAAAAAAGGTACCCGTCACTCCGAGTGTTGTGCGCATAATTCATAATAACCGTACCTGATCTCGGACGACTGCCTATATGACTCTCTCACTCAGATTGCTGCGACATGGCCAAAGACCTTAGAAGAGGACTGAAACGCTTGCGGGAGATAGAATGCAGTCAGTCACCAGCCAAAGTGAGCCATGCGACACTGGTACGTTTTCCACTGACCACTATGTTGTGAATCTGACATACTTTGACTGGGAACCACAAAAGAAGTAGCTTTTGATTGCTTCTCACGGTGTGTAGCACTTTGAAGGCAAGCATGTTTCTCTTTTTCTTTTCATTTAGCAATGGATTTTACAAAGATTTTATAAACCAGTTCGGCACCCCTCTCATAAAGTACTTATCAAAACTCGACAGATATGTCAGTTTAAAAAGAAGGAGGGGGGTTTAAACAGTAACATTCTTTTTTTATGAATGTTATTGTTTAAACCCCCTCCTTCTTTTTAAACTGATAGTATCTATCGAGTTATCAATTATATATATATGCAGGGTGTTTTTTTTAAGCTTAACAGATTTTTAAAAAAAAAGCTGTGAAAGTTACACTTATGCCGCTTATGGAGGTGAGTTATACGGCCAGGGGGACATATTATAGGGGGTTAATCGTAACAATCAGTCGACTAATTAACTAAAATTCGTTAATTAACTCTTTAATAATGAAAATATACATATGGTTCCAATTAGAAACTTGCTCAGCATCATCGAAAACCACTAAATCAGTCATTTTCAGAAAGACTTCGAGCGCGTGAGAAGCGTAGTAGTGCACTAAAGTTACCACTCGTGGAGCAGGTACAAAGCTAGCGGTTGCGATAAGGCGCCCGCGCGATTTTTTCATCTCTTATCTAGCCCCAGCCTTGTACCTGCTCCACGAGTGGTAACTTTAGTACAATACTACGCTTCTCAGCGCCGAGAGTCTTTCTGAAAATGACTGATTTAGTGGTTTTCGATGACGCTGTGCAAGTTTCTAATTGGAACCAGATGTCTATTTTCATTAATTAAAAAGTTAATTAACGAACTTTAGTTAATGAGTCGACTGATCGTTGTGATTAGCCCCCTATATGTCCCCCTGGCCGTATAACTCACTTCCACAAGCGGCATAAGTGTAACTTTCACGGCTTTTTTTAAACAAATCTGTGAAGCTTAAAAAAAACACCCTGTATATATAGGTATAACCAAGTGAAAAATGCAGGGTATGAAACAACAGCGGAAGTTTAATTAACAGTGACGCCAAAAGCCTTTTATCTTGTTTTTCTTTAGCTTCGCGCGATTTTTCTATAATGCTAGAAAAAAATTAGACACACAAAATCTACTTTGATGGAACGACCCAATCGGATATTTTTCATAACTCACTACTACTTTCGCATTAGAGAGTTTGCGCACAAATCAATATTTTAAAAGTTAAGCCAATTAATTAAGATTAATTGCTGGCTAAATTGCTGGATTCATGGCTAAATGTGGATTTAAATCCTGACGGGGCCATGCAACCGTTTCAGCACTCTTGCAGAAGCTATTAGCAAATTTCAGGTAACAAAAATAATTAGAGGAATGGGCAAAAAGATATCAATACTTTGCATAAATAAAAAAAAAAGTCTGTAAGACAAAACAATGATAAACTGGCAAATATTCAGAAGAAAACATAGGCACACAACAGTCTAAAGACACGAGAAAGATATATGTATCGAGGAAATAAACAGGCAGGTTAGGTAGAATTGTATAATTTATACTGTAATAGAAACATGAAATGGACTGACGTTAGTCTTCCTGGAAGAAAAGCCTGTTTATTACATTCTTAAATTGTACCATTGGAATGGAATTGTGCAGAATATCTAGGATCACGGGGGATTTATTCCAGAAGTCAGCGATTAGAGAAATCAGTTGTAGTTCACCATAATTCGTCCGTGACCAAAATCTTGCAATCAGATATATAGTTCATATGGAATTGGGGTTTCGTGATCATTTGGGTTGCAGAGCTGTTTCTCATTATGGTACTCATTATAAATTTCTAAGCTTAATTTATACTCATGTAATTGTGTAACATGCAAGATTCCATATGCTTTGAAGTAGGGCATACAGCTTTAAGGAGGCGTTAAGGAGTTTTCGTGGACCGCGTTTCCCCCTCCGCTAAGCCCTCCGCAACGAAACAGCTGTTACTGCGCCTGCGCGCCAATGGCCTTGACTGTAGAGTTCCGGGTATCGTAGCGGGTCGCGGAGAGCGTGGCGGGGTGGCGAAAACCATCTACGAAAGCTCCGTAATATGATTTCAATCGCACGTATACCACGTTTTTGACTGTGAATGACTAAATTATACTGCGTTGGTATTGTTCACAGTCCACTAAGTTTAAGGTCTTGGCGCAGGTTAGCTATAATACCCTGTATAGCTATTATAGTGTTTAGCATGAAGTAAGAAGGTCCTTGAAAATATACAGGAATGTGACGAGTAATGATGTTCCTTACGAATTATGCAATGCACATTGTCTTGTTCAATTATTTGTGATATGTTTTGTTCCCAGTAATAATGGCGCATGAGCTTAGTTAAGTGATCCTAAGCTGTTAACCAAGGAACTTATTTTATCATTACCGTAGTTTTGAAAAGTGAAAACGGCGCAAAATCTGCCAAGAACCATGCCCCGGTATTGCTGCAGCCTCGACGACGGTATACAACGGAAGCTTCGATGGTTTTCAATCTAAAAAGTTGGTTTGCACGACAGCCTTCTTTCAACACAAGTGACCAATTTCTGACCTTCAGTATTACCCCAAATTTGGCTGTTTATACAGCCTACTGTTCGTCCAATGCTAGTGCCCTACAACGCGAGAAATGTGTGCAGAAGCACAGGTCTGATGATTCTTTTTAGTTCACTTGACAACGCTGTCCTGGCCGCGTTGAAATGGTCACGGGCTCAGATTTGTAGCTTCAGACACCGATGCTACAAATCGTGCTACAAATGTAGCATTTGTAGCACTTGGGAACCACGCGGAACGCATGGTTTGCGCCGTACTCCGCTCTGTACCTGCATGGCTAAGCCGAGGCCCCCCCTCACTGCTAATACATCATACACAAACAATCTGCAGGCAAGATTGAAGCAATGCAGGACATGTGCTCGGGGCGACACCTCCGCCATCGTGTCTGCCCGCAGCGGACACTGTCTATTGTATGGTGTAGGAACAGTGTGATTGGGGCTTTAGCGTTCTGACCTGACACGCAGTGATTGATACTTGGCTACTTTGCTCTTGGAAGGTTGACATCGGGAACAATGTGCTCGTCAACGAGGCGGCCCTCGTGCGGGCGAGGGAGAAGGACAAAGGAGCAGGCTCCTTCGCACGGGCACTGCTCGGCTTGGTGTTTAGCGACGAGGAGCTGACAGGGAGGTCCCTCACTGGCAGAAAGTCGAATGCCCACAAAGACGCCGCGGCCAAGGAGGCCTTGGACCCCGTTCGTCTCAACGCCATCATCGGTAGGACTTCATTATCGAACTGTAGCCCCTGACAGAGCGAGAACGGTAGAGCGAGTCTTGGCCCGGGCCTCCGGCATGCGCTCCGTGCCTTCCGCTGTGCTTCGGCCGCGAGCGCGCGCTGGAGGTCCACGAGACTCCAAAGCATCGTCGAACGTGAAAAGCTCACACTTGAGGCAGGAAAGCTGAAGCTCCTCCTCTTTCCCTTTCCCTCCTTCTCAGTGATTATAAAGGGTAAAATTGTAAGGACCAGTACCGTAAAATCCCGAGAGATGCCCCCACCTCCGAAACATAGCCCACCCCTTTTTTTTTGGCTCGATTTGCTATATTTGTTGAAACACCGAAAAATAGCACTTAATAGTGCTATTTTAATAGTGCTTAATAGTGTTGCGATCAATGATGGCCTCTGCGTAAATGCGGCTAGTTAGCTTTGGCGGGATGTAAGCGAACGTTGCTGACTAGGAAGTACAGTCATCTTTGCTTCGTTGTCCCTCGCCATTGTAACAAGCTTAGACGGGACATGACCTAAAAATAAATTTTTTTCACAACTTTTCTTGATTGTACGCCGAATGGTAGCCCACTCTGTATTTTCACCCGATTTGCTCTCGATGTTAGGTGGGATTTTACAATACATTTGGCACGCCTTGCGAAATTTGAATTCCAAACGTACATAGCAGAAACTGGGCACGCGAACGTCGTTTCACCAAAAGTTCTGTCTAATATTGTTTTAGAACTTAACTCGGACGAAATATTAAAAATCAAGCGAAAACAGTTGCTGTGTATTTTCATTGTACTCCGTTCTCCCTTAAGCCAAAACTGGAACCTATGCCATCAGCGTGAGCTTTCTGCACTTGCTAATACAAGTGTGAACGTGCATGACGTGCATGCACGCGCAACCAAAGCACTGCGGAAGCCAGGGAGGCTGTTCGTCGTTTGCTCACTGCTTTGCAAGCTCGCTCCCGGGTGGCTTCTCGAACGCAACAATGCCGAGAACGGCCAGTAGAGGCAGACGACGAGCAGGACAATCGCGATAAATATTAATTTTAACGAAACATACGAACGACGACCACCCGGGAGCAAGCTCAAAAACCAGTGTGCGGATGACGATCATCCGGTGTCGCTGCTCCCCCCCGAAAGTCAAGTGACACTCAGACGGCGGCTCCAATGGGTCGTGGCGCCGTCTGCGTTTCAGCGCATAAGGTGAAACTGATCGTATAGCCTGGGGTCTTTTTGACGTAATAGTGATACACGACCACAGATCGAAATGTATACACGGGTGTATTCACGGGTGTATACACAGGTGTATACAAAAGCTCATGCCACTACAGCATGAGCTTTTGATCCACATGCTCGGAACTGCGGTGCGTAATTACGTACTCTGCCACCGGCAGTAAAATGCAGTTTTTTTCTTGTGCATTATTTTAAGTCCTCAACAATCACCCCCCCTGCAGAGCTAGTGCGAAATTGAGTACAAGCGTTCGTTTCATCTGTTAGCCGCTTACCCTCGTGGATCCCATACTATTATTGCAGACGTTGGTCCACGGGCAGCCGGTATTGTTCAATTCAAAGGGAGCCCGGCCAGCGGCAGGCAATAACTCAGTAGCATGCCAAGCAACATAATGCCAGTATTGTTTTTAAATAAAATATGGTGAGGGTGCGGGAGAGCTGGTGAATATTAACCGGCTCTTCTTTCCCCGGACATCAAGTTAATTTAACTTGGTTGTTTTTAAGGCGCCCGAACTCGGTGGTGTCTATTAAACTTGCTTCTATGTGCCCGTTACACTGCAAAAAAATTAATCTGAAAACTGCTCCGTTCTTTTCTACTCTCCCCCACTGTACTTTTTTTCGAAAAAAGACTGACCTAGTCATATGAACAGAGATAACCTGAATGCCTACTTTCCTGAAATGCTGGCGGAAAGAGATTGAATTGTTGTGAACTACGGAAAAAAAAGACCGGAAAATTATAAGGTACCAATAATTCTTGGATGTTGAACATACAGGACATCATGCCAGCCAAATGTGTGGTGTTACCGTTTTGGAACTTTCATTCGGAACTGTATAAGTATGCTCGGTTGACTTGATTATGAACAGGTCAACCTAGGGTGCCTCAACGTCCTGTTTAGGGTAATGCCACCCTTTGTAGTATCCGATGCCGACAGCACGCGCTCACGGGTAAAATACAAAGAGAAAACAAAATGTCGCCATGGCACAGTCAGCGCAACTAACGCCGTGCAGGGTCATGCTCTTTCACGCGCTTCTGAACAAAAAAGAAAAAGTGTGGGACAAAATGGCCAGATGTCTCCACCCTAAGCAAAGCGCACATGAAGGCACCCTAGGTCAACCTATGTTCGAGCGCATGCTCCCGATCCCGCCGGGTCAGCATGAATGGAGACGCGTCATATATGTGCTCCCCACTTTGTCCGATTAATTATCGGAATAGTACGGTCATTGTTAACATTCAAGTGACCCGTATGTTGCGTGAGCGACAACTATTGCTTGTTCAAACGGTACGCGAACTAGATGTTAGGAAATGAAGAATAAGAATTTGTCGGTTGTACCCTATCAATCGAGATTATCAATTTGATCTTTCAGCTCACACGATCAGGGAGTATGGCGACGTTGAGAAGCAAGTGAAGGCAAGTCTGTCGTCCTTCCTGTCCAGGGGCCACTAACGCCAACTTGGGTAAGCCTTTTCACGATCACTTTGACACCCAAATAGTTATGATTATAGATTGCCTACCACCATGTAGTCCGCGATTTCAGAGTATACACCTGAACTATATTCATGCTTATAAAAATATTATGCAGTTCGTGCTTTACTAACCTATGAATGACAAATGCCCAGGTTCATATTTGCATGTAGTCATTGTTCTATTTCCATTTGCCCGATACTATTTACTGCAATGCTGCTATTCTTTTTTTTTGTTGTTTTATCCTCCCGCTATAACGCCACTGCCGCTTCAGATATCTGAAAGTAAATAAATAAAAAGTTATGTAACATAAACGTAGAAAAAAAAAACGCTTAACCCGCATTAAAATTTTGTTCTCATTTATTTTTCCAGCTTTTTCAGAAAGCGAGCAGTCAAGCCCGAACGATCGTCTCTATGTGTCATAAATGCTGACGCACATTTTCCTGTCGGCACCAGTCATCAACACTGTAATAAAGTTCCCATTCTTGTCTCATGAATATTTACTTGCCCCGCTGCAAGCAATGTACGAAATTGCATATACGACCCGCCTGCATGTATGCGTGGAGCAAGTCGTCTGCTTCTTACGCCGGAGTTGCGGTGACGTCAGAACGACGGCGAGCTCTGATTGGCTAGCATCTAGCATTGAGGTAGACCTTAATGCTAGATGTTTTGAGGTCTACTCACTATATATATATTTTTGTTTTCTTCAGTCAGCCAAAAAGAGCTCGGCGTTCTGACATCGTCACAACTTCCGTCCAAGAAGCGGGCGAACTTGCACTCCGCATAGGGTGTCCACAATGAATCTCTGCGCTCTAAATCGAGTCGGAAAAATCGGCGCCTACACATAGAAAGCTCAAACTTCCACCGAATGTGCACTGAGGCGGTGGATCTTAGCCGACGAAATTTCGAGGCGTAGCTCCTATCCTGCACAAAATGAGACCGACAAGCTTGCCAGGGACAACGGTGGTCGCAGAAGACCAACTCGGAGATGTTCGTAACGCGTGGCGCCATCTCTGGGGAGACCTTCATTGTGGACACCTTATGCAACCCGCCAACATGTGCACATGCCAAGGTGGGGACAGTTTAAGTGCACCTTGCCTCCAGTAAGCTCAAAGGGCCATTGGAGATTTTAATCGCGCGTCTATACCCCATCTCGCGGCTTCTTTAGACCGCCAGGCATTGTGAATACCGGATTCGCTCCAGAAGGCGAGGGAGCGAACCTGCCGCAACATCCTTCAATTCTGGCTCTAGGGGCCGTCGATATGCGGCGGAAGAAGGCGGAGTCGCCAATCTGACGACGTTCAGAAAACCAATTTTGTGGCCCTGACTGGCAAACAAAAAAGCCGTGGACCGCCAATGCCTCCTAAACGTCATTGGTCAGGCACCACCATAAAGAGCAGTTGTCTCAAACACGCGGCCCGCGACTCGCTGGGAAGCGGCCCGCAGACAACCGGCTGCGAGTTCCAGTCCCCATGTCTCGAGTGCTAGAAATGACATGCGCCATCTCATCTCATCGATTCATTTTCGCTCAAAAAGTAGCTCTGCTCTTTTTACCTATTCACATAGTTTAGAATTAGCTGTGTTCATTTGCCCTTTCTTCCGCTTTTGTTTTTGCTTCCCGGCTTTTTTGTGATGTAAAACAATTCCCAGACTGCAAGCGCGAGCTATTCGTTGAAGGATGCATCTCGGCTGTGCGAACTCGAACAGCAGAAGCAACTGCCAAAGATAAAGCCACGATCTCGGGATTCTCGCCTTCAAAAAAATATCACCATTGAAAGACAAGTATTTGTTCAGAGTGTTCTAATAAAAATGGTCAGGACAGCACAAACTGTCAAATTAACTTATTGATTTCAAATACATGTTGAGCTGGGATAATTCCACAGGAAGTTGAGCAATGGAAACGACAGTGTGCTAGCTCTCTTGCTCTATTAAAAATGCCAGCCCGTAGGCGGGACGGTGTCATTTGAATTCTTGCTATCACGTCTTGTTAGGGCCCAAAGTAGTCATATAAACAAATCAAATCTAAAGATGCCACTGGCGAAACAGTGGGTTTACTAAAAGCATAAAGCACGAGGTCTCTTCTCTTAAAGGAGGTGTGCAGCGATTTAAACGTTGAAAGAATTGGCATCTTCTGCTTTTCATATTGTTCACCTTGTCACAAATGACAGAAAACACGCATCCTTTCATCGAAATGTTGCGATTCCGCCGCGTAATAGCGAGGCAAAACAGAATATTTCCCGACCTGCAGCCGTGAGTGGCTGCAGGTCGGGAATGGGGTATTTTGTGGAAAGATAGAAAGTTGTGTGAATACCTGCTCGATAAAAGGTAACTTTTCTATAAATCTTGTCGTTCCAACATATATATACATGCGTCAAAGACCTGGTATCATCGACAAAACTTTTATTATAGGAAGTTTTAGTGGCGCCATCTATCCTAGGTCCATAAAACCGTAAGTTCTCGCTGCTACCGCGAACAGCCGCCAGAGGCCAAAGGGGGAGAAGGACAAGGCCGGACGGGTATGGCCGGACCCGGATGAGACTTTCCTCCTTTCACAATGTTCGCGCGGCGCCCGCCAGCACGTGGTCACGCGGTCGCGAGCGGATGAGTTCTCGCTGCTCACTGAAGGCTCTAAAAAATCAATTTTTTCGGAACCCCGCGCCTACCCCATCAACGTGTAGACATTAGGAATGTCCGGCATCGCCGGCACATGGCCACGCCTCGCTTCTGCTTCGTCTGTCGGGATGCCCATATAAACAAGTTTCAACACACTCCCGTAACATGACCCAACGTAAGGAAACGGAACAGTGTGAACCGGCCTTTAAGGTCGAACGGAGCTAAAGACCTCGTCACGAAGGAGATCAAGCATTCGGGAAATGAGCGGGCGAAGGAGAGAGGAGCTACGAGAGACGATGATCGAGCGAAGTTTAAGGCGTCATGCGTGCATCGGAATCGCTAGCTTTTACAATTAAACTACACCTCGTTGCGAACGTGACGCGACGTCATTCACTTAACGCGCTTAAATCAATAAGAAGACAAGCTGCTTGGGAGGTTCCCACAGCGGAACAATCTGCATAGCATTGTCTCGCGGGTCACGCTCCTTAGAGCCGCTCTACGTCTACCTGCCCCTCCGAATGAATGCACCGGAGCACTCGCATTGTCAAGGCCACGGCTGGTCGCACCGGAAGCAGCCCCGGGGAACCGGGGCAGGTACGCCGGAAAAGAGAGACGCTCGCTCTGTAATTAACCACAAGTCACGTCGTCGTCGACGGCGTACGAACACGTTCACACACGACTTCTTAGGACCGTGTGCCTTGAAACCGCTTCAAATCGCTTACGACGAGAGATGGCGCCAGCTATAGGAAGCGAGCAAGCCGGCCGTGTCGCGGCGGTCGCCTATTGTTCGCCGCGACCTAGCGGTAGCCGCCGCAGGAGCATCGGGGAGCAACGGCGACGAACAGCACGGCGGGCAGTGTCCCCGCGGTGATTACGGAGGAATTTAAGGTAGTTACGAATTCGGAAAGTTCCTTCGGTAGCCGGTGCCGTCGGCGCAGAATCATCGGGAAGTAACAGCACCGAACGCCACAGAGGACAGTGGGCGATTACGAATCCGGAAAGCTTCTTCGGTAGCCGGTGCAGAATCATCGGGGGGAAGCAATGGTGATGAGCAGCACAGCGGACAGTGTTCCCGGGGTGATTACGACGGGGTTTAAGGCGGTTACGAATCCAGAAAGCTTTTTCCGTGGTACCAATATGAAGAAGGGAAAACTCGTTCGTGAATCTGGCCGCGTGTACGACGTGAAGGAGGTCCGTTTCGACGGACAAGTGGATGTCACGGCGCGCCGTACTCCGCTACCAAAATTAAGCGCGCCCGCAAAAAAATGCAGTTGGCGTTGAGTGGACTGTGGTAATTATGCACGTTTATTTCTGAATCAGCTTGACAATAACTGGGCGATTTTTTTTTAGCGCCGTTCCGCGATTCCCACTACTATCTTCCTGTAGGCTGATGGAAACATCCAGGGTAGGCTTAGAGTGGCGACCGCATTCCGCTTCTCGATTCCGGTGATTTGCCGCATACTTTAGAGTTTGCCGTCGGTGTCGATGCTGCTCCATCGTCGCTAGAATAGAAAAAAAGTTAATTGTATTATTCGTGAGCAGCTTAAACAAAGCGCGAACTGGAAGGGAAGAAACGCCACTAACCTGTATGGACGCACAAGTCGCACCCAGGCCGCGCAGTACTCCGCCTCGTACGGCTCCGAAGGAACGATGTAGTACTTCGTGCCGTTCGCGATCTTCGACGTACTGTTGCAGCCGACCACGCAGCAATTGTTATGGCTTTCTTGGTGCGGAATAGCCATCTCAGAAATTACAGCGCTAACCCACCACAACGCACAAGCAACGCAGCGGCTGGCAGAAGCTCCCCGATGCAAGGGACCCGTTTGCCGCTAGGGGCGCCCTGGTAGGGGCTTGAATTAGATGCGCACGGTTCCTATCGAGGTTGCCCTGGAACACTTGGCGGTCCCGCATATTTCCTATTTTTTCGCGCATCATTTTTTTTTTCTTTTTTTGACCCGAAAAAGCTTTTGGGAATATTATAAACGATAAAATCTCAAAGGCAGTACGCACATTTGATCTCACCAATACCGCAAAGCATTCGCTCTAATGCATCGCGCGCGCGCTTCGGGATCTCGGAGGCCATGCTCTAGCAAATTGCAGTTCCAGGGTCACACGGTATAGATGGCGCCAGCGTGCCAGTCTGTTCTCTCGTCGTAAGAGCTTTTAAGAGTCGCAAGTGTGTGAACGGTGCGGCTCCTTACGACCGAGTGCCTAAAGGCCCGTTCACATTTGCGTTTGCTTACGACCGAGTTCTTGTGACCTCTTACGACGAGAGATTATGTTGGCGCCATCTACAAGGTGACCCTGAAACTAGATTTCACTAGAGGGAAGGTTTTGTGGTATTTGCGATTAAAGGTACGTACAGCAGTGTTGGGACGTACTTTAATTACATTTTACTACTTTAAATGGGTTTAGAAAACTTGTACTTGAAGCGCGTCCTCCGAGTGTTTACTTGTACTTCCAAATATTTTTTGACCCTTTCCAAAGAAAGTACAACTGCCGACTGCAAGGCAGATTCCCCAAACGTGGTCTTGTTACGTTTGTATCACAAAAATTATGATTTGCAAACAAATCAGTGCATTGTAAGTTGATTGTGCTAATAGTTTGTCAGCGAGTGTACAACAACTCTGACCATTTGACTTTACCCTGTATTCGCCGTAATTTCTGAAAATAACTGATGCACCCCCGATTGCCCATGGGGCAATGCATACCAGATAAAAACAAACAAAGAAAAAAAAACAGTATAGGAGAATGAAAATCTATGATGAAAGATTATATCAATAAGTATTTGTATTTTCATTTGAAAGTACATTGTATTACTTCAAGTACATGGCGCCCGGTCTACTTAGTCTTCACTCGAAGTGCATAACCTTCCGGAAGTGTCGCAACTCGGAGGCAGCCCACGGCTGAAATCATTTAATTCAAGATCGTATCTCTGAGTGCCCTGACAGCTGTGACATGGCCTTCCCAAAGTTGCCCTTTTTGGGACACCAGCCGCGCTGACTAGGAGCCGACCGAGGCGTCTCTTGTTCACTGCTCATATATACATACGTTCACAGAAATATTTGCCCTTAAAGGAGTTGGTCGAGGAGGTTGCCAAAAAAGTGAGCTTGAAACGTTTCGGGCCTGGTAGGCTCTTCGTCAGTCAAAGTAAGAACACTTCGTTCTCCTTTTCTTTTAATCAAAGAAAAAACGGCCGGAAAAAAGAAGAAGTTAATTATCCGTATATACATACGGATAGAAGTACGAACTTTACTGGTGCCGTTTCGGTTTGGCATTCATGCATGCCTTTAAATCAGTTGGTCGTCTTGCTGATTTTGCGGCACGTTAGTAATTATCTTGTTTTGGGGTTCATGCGATGTTGATAGAATGTTGATATTTATTTTATCTCGAGAGAGCCGAGGCGCGGCAGAAAGGCAAGTCGCCCGTATACCATGAAGGCCTGCGGCGCCGCGTCTAACGACGTTGAAATGATATTCTAGAGATGAAAGAGAAATGGCGATGAAGGCTCACGTGGAGGTTGCGGGTGATGGTGCTTTCTTTTTTCCTTCGTCTTTTCTGCGGCTGTTTGCGGGGTGGTCCCGCAAAACCGCCACATTGTTCGTACCACGACCTCGTGGTTCGTGCACAGACCGGACACAGCGGGGGCGCACGGGACGGTTTTAAGTGATATGCTCACGGTTCATTGAGGACAGACGCATAAGTGTGCCTTTATATTCCCGTAAGATCCGGAAAAAAAGACTGACAGTGTAAATAAATAACAAATAATTCGGCAATGACCTTTCGTTGCGAAACGGGACAAATCATGCGCACTTTACAGACGTGTTCCAAGATAGTAAACTTAATCTCCCTCCAAGAATTGCGTGGCATTCACAAACTTGATATTCGAAAACCTACCCACAGCGCCGAGGCCGAGTTGCTCTGAGTCATCACTGGATAAATTAACGATGCGCGGGAAAAATCTCGTGTCTACTCGAGTTAGGTTTGGAGCGAAGCCAACGTGCGCGACGCGCGGCCCAGGTTGGCTGCAGGCAACTGCAGCGACCCAAGTTGTAGTTCGTACAGCGAGAACGTACGCCGTCTCGAAGAATACAGTCTCTTCCATTCGACAAATTTGATCTCGACGTTGGGTGGGGGAGCATGCGGTAATCTAGATGTTACATTATATGTGATATCGCACCATCTCAATCTCCATCTTGCTTGCACTCACAAACTTGTACACCCCGTATTTTTTTTTAGCATTACGTGTCCGCATGTATAAATAGATTCTAGAATAAAAATAATATAAACCAGGAAAACTCGAGGAAGAAAAATGAGAAAGCATTGCGACGCACACGAGTGAAAAATATTGTCAATATTAGAGAAAGGCAATACACTAAATAGGTATACCTCGCCGAAGACAAAAAAAAAAAAAAAAAAAAAAGCCAACCTATCTTTTTTTTTTTTTTTTTGCACGGTGAAGCGTTGAACGACGTCACAATTAGCTCCGCGGCCTGCCGTTCTGAGGCTGTCAAAGAGTGGATCGTCGAAGTGCTCCAAGGGCGTGGTCGCTCCCCCTCCAATCCTGCGCGCTTATATAAGCGCCACGAATTGATACACCGCTTCTCACGCTTACGCAAAACTCCCCATTCCCCTCCCTCCAACGCAACGAGGCGACACGCCCTGCCGAGCCGGCAGATAAAACAATTGCCCCCTTCGGCTGTAAATAACTAAACATAGCGGAATGACGAACACACGCATCTAAAGAATTCGTATCCTTCGATATAATGTCGTTACGTGGATTGTTACGCGTTGGTTTATACACAGAAACGGACATCGAAAACCACGCGGTAAACTATGCATTCGCAGTGGCCCGCGGCGTTAGTACCGCAATTCTACCGCGCCGCGCAAGAAAAAAAAAAGAGCAATGGAGGCGAGTGATGTGATCAAAATAAATATCAGAGGGCACGTACCGTACGGATGACTGTCGGCGTCGGCCTCGTCAAAGGCAGCCGGGGCGTACCTCACTGCGTCGCGGCTGGATGCCGTTCCGTTCGACATTTGTCCAAACAAACACGGCGTAAACTCGAGCTTTTCTTCTTCAGACGGGGCTGAGTTAACAAAGCCGTCAGCGGCTTCGGTATATAAGTGTCGCAATAACTTTGTAACCAGACACCACACACTTGTGCGCCGGCAAGGGAGAGGAATTCCACGCGAGAGGATCGTTCACGTAGCGCGGCGCTCCGTTGGGTGATGCGCTTCCGCGGCGCGGCAAAGCTGCAGCAATAACCTTGCTCCGTCCAGGCAGCACATTTCAAGAGGAGAAGGCTGCGGGTTCTGCTGGGGATAGTACGATAGTAGGCTACTCCGCGAAAACAGGTTTTGTTTGATCCAACATGCACGCGCGGTCGGGGACGTGGTAGGGACTTCACTCTGGACGACGATGGGCGTTGTCCAATTCTTCTTTTTGTCTCTCCGTCTCTTTGTTCTCCCTTGCTCAAGCACGCGGTCCGGCCGTTGACTGTTGATAAGAGTGACAGTTTCCACGAGTGTCACTCGGGTGATCCAACCGAGCTTGATAAGGGAGGAGAGGTGAAGTTTGCGAAGGAGGTCGTAATATCGTGGTTACAGCGGAACATCATCGCTTTATCGCATGGCGTATACTCGAACGGTATTGTTAGCGACAATTAATAACGTCCATTCCTTCGGAAAGGACTATCCGCCACAGCACAACAAGTGGCACGGTATAGGTAGGGAGGCACTCACTCGATCGAGTGACGTTTTAGCGAACGCCGACGTTTCACCGATTGACACCTTAGCGATAGTCGGCTGGGTGGGCCAAGTGGGTTAACATTCGTGTAATGACCCGGCGCAGACTGTCGCCGCGAAGTAAGCGCAGCGCGCGGGGGGGGGGGGGGGGGGGGGGGGGGGGGGGTTAGTTAACCTTTTCTTCTTTGCAGCTTTGTAGGAACGTCTCTCAACTCGGCCTTCGTCGCAAAATATACAATGATTGTCTCGATCTTAAAACAGCATAATTATCTATGCTTGGGAGAAGAGCGTGTTGGTTCAAGTGATGGATGAAGAAAATAAACAACACTGGGACAACACAACCACATCTTTCAACTAGCAACAGAGGATTAAAAATTCCCACAGTTTAGTTGGCAGCTCGCTGTGGGAATTTTGAATCGTCTGTTGCTATAGTTGAAAGATGTGGTTGTGTTGTCCCTGCGTTACTTGTTTATTCCTTCTCCATCGAGCATTGTTATCACCTCCCGATCGAACATCATCTCGCTTAAACAATGCCTGTGCCATCAAAAGGATCTCTGGTTCAGCTAACTTAAGCTTTCAACCGATCCTTCCTCCCACAAGCCATCAATGACTGGAACAGCCTTCCATCCTCCATCGTCACCATTGTAGACCCAGACGCCCTTAAATCAAGTCTTCAATTGCACTTTTTATGTTGTTAACCATTTACCGACCTTTCCCTGAATGTATTCATTTTTGTGTCCGTTTTTCCTAAGTATAATATGACTGATCTCCTCCGCTATGTAATAACCTCACAAACCCTTAAAGTTCAATAAATGAAATTGAATATATAGCCGCAACGAATCTGCACTATATTTTTTTTTTTAATTTTATAGACCACAATTGCACTTGTGCACCAAACCTCTCTGGCGTCATACACGTCGTGGGTTTATCTTTCACAACACCGAAGGTAAATAAGACGACGTCTGGCTGGGGACGAGAGTACACAGAAAAGGTCTATAGGAGCAAAAGGTAAAAACTCTCCGACGAGAACTTTGAAAGTCTATTGCTCCTGCGAGAGAATAAACTATTTTGTTTTAGTAAAAACGCAATCCATAAAATGACTGCATTTATTTTAGGCTCGTAGGGTTTTTCACGGATCAAAACCGCTGTTCATTTTTCTACCATAAAAACATAAAAAAAGTAACTTTAAAAGTAACTCGCTACTTTTTTATAATATAGTTAGTAGTTTACCCAGTTATTATTACAAATGCGTAATTTCTACTCTACTCCAATTACTTTTGGCGTCGATACTCAGTAACTTAACTTCACAACATTTTTTGAGTAATTTGTATACATGTCTGGATTTAACTAATCAAAAAGGCGCAATAATCCCCCGGGGTTTTCTTTTTCCTTTTTTTTTTCTTGCGCTCGCCTTTTTTTTTTTTTTTTTTTTTTTGCGCGCGTTTTTTTTTTTGCGCGTCATTGGTGATACCAAACCAATAAAAAAACAACGAGCGCAGTGACGATGAACTTTTTGGCGCCGCGTGATCGGCTCGACCGGATCGAACGTCGGCTGGGGTGCAACTTAGAACGAAACGAAGTATGTCGCATTCCGCGCTGTTTGATGTAATCGTGCGCCGTAACTCAAATATGTCCGACCGTAGAACGCAAATAATAAAAAATAAAATAAAAATAAAATTAAAAAAAATGTGGGAGAGAGAGAGAGACAAAGAGAGACGTAAACATTTTTTAGTACCAAGTGACGAGAAGCATAAATATTGCGCAGCTAGCTCTCCGCGGCACGCGAACGAACTCGATCCCGTTAATTAAACGTTAAATGCCAAGAATGGGAACTAAATTAAAGGGGTCCGCGCGTGGGGTAGTAAATCTTGCGAGTCGTTAGAAAGCGCTATTTAATCATCGCGACTGTCTCGGGTGCAAGGAAAAAGAAAATCGCTGGCGTGCCGCTATAACCGTTGGCGAGATGAGGCTGAAAAAGGAACAATTATACAAACGGGGGGAGCGGGTCACGACGGGGTGACTACTCGGCTAACGAGCGCTATATATTATATATATACAGGTAGGAGGTTCTGACAACGACAGTTCTAGACAAAACAAAGAGACAGAGTTAAAGAGACGCTGAGCACGAGCCATTCGTCCTTTGCTCCTGACAATGTTGTTATGCTACTAATGGACCCTCTTCAAAAATCCTTCGAGCGACATTAGGGAGTTTTCGTAGAGGGTTTTCGCCGTCCTGCAACGCTCTCCGCAATTCGCCACGATACCCGGAACTCTACAGTCAAGACCATCGGCGCGCAGGCATAGCTAGCGGCTTCTTCGTTGCGAAAGGCTTGGCAGGAGGGGGAAACGCGGTCTACAAAATCTCCCTTTAAAGGGGTAGTGAAACGAAATTTTAGCGCCGATCTTGTTGCATAAATATGGGCTAGGGACAGGCACCACCTCGGAAATATAAATATTGCGCTGTAAAACACAGGAGAACTAATTTTAAACATAATTAAACGATTTCAAATTCTCATCTGGTGGATGGGGGGAAGTTCTCGTGACATCACTTGTGCCAAAATAGCAGCGCCGTTCTGCGGCAATACGGCGTGCCGGCAGAATTCGCCTAGGCCTGAACGCGTTCGCAAAGCCTTGGCGGAGAAAGCCAAAGCGTAGTTGGCCACAGTCAGCTCGTTCTCGTTGCGGCTCTTTGCACGACACGGCCCGAGCATGCTTCTGGCACGGCCGGTATTAGTTGCTGCGAGTCGCGAGCTGCAAGCCGACGTTAAAAAGGATATGTTTGAACTACGAGGGTGTCAGCAAGAGCCACGCAAATGCCAAATACCTGTTCACACTCGGAGCGGACACGCGCGTTTGATCGAAGTGCTGGATTCGCTCTGTTAGACCGCGTTTCGGTAAGCACTTCTGGACCGATCTTTTACGATTGCAACTCGATACTGACATGACACTCGGCAAAGAAAGGTTAGACCGACATCGCGTAGCTCCCACGAGAATAAAAATGGCATACTAATAACAGAGTGTACATACCGAGTTGCCAAGGTAATCCGTATGGCGTTTATTTGAGCTCTATATCACACAAAACAAGGAGATAGAATCAATGAGAGTCCCTTTTCGACGACAGCGTTCGTCACCGCTGTCTCGGAAAACAAGGAGATCGAGATGACAAGGGGAAAATATTGACCTCTGAAATTTAGTTCAGGGATCAAACTACTCATCCGGTAAGGGTCCACAAGGGTCGCGCGGGCATATTCCATTCAGCAGGCCAGCCGGTCATGGACAGACGGTCTTGGCCAAGGACCGCCGGAGCAACGGTGCGCCGAGTCGATGTTGCTGCTAGGCCTACTGTATTCTGCCGAGCTCGCTCGGTCGGCAGAATCGTGGCTGTTGTAGCTCTTCTCGTGTGTTTGTGGATCCTGCGTTCTTGATCGTGGTCTGTTTTAAGTACTCCTTCCTTTTTTCTTGCTGGTTGAAGTCGGGACGCACGAGAAGAGCACGAAGAAAAATAAATGTCCGTTGGTGGCCGATACCAAGTAACTGAGCGACGCTGTCGGCCTTGTTGATTTGATCGTAAAAAGTGCGTAAGACAGCTTCGGAGCTGTCGTAGGATTTTGTCGTAACCTGCGCAAAGGTTACGACAATTTCGTTTCGAGAGCACGGGTTTTCTCTCAAATTTGTCGTACGCACTTTTTTCGTCGTGAATTCGCTTTGAGAATCCGGCCTCAGAGCTGGTTTTGTCAGTGCTGCCGTGGTTGCCGACTTGCCGTGATCCCGTGGTGCAGCGTGCGTGCAGCCCTTGCACATCTCAAACGGCCACGTTGTCACAGGTCGTAAATCGTCGACGCGCCACCAAGTGGCAACGCTCGTAACCACAACATTCACGCCGTAGCCTTTCCCGACCGGCACAAGTGACGTCACGAATGCGCCCAATATCCCAAGACGCATCGCGCTCTCCGATGGCCGATTTTTGAGCGCGCGCCCAATCGGGCCCATTATGGTGAAAAATATAGCCATCCGTACAAAATACAAACGCGCGATTATGATTTATGAATATCATTGATCATATTGAACCTATTTCTGACCATAATAGGTGTATTTCAAGTTTCGCTTCAGTATCCCTTTAACGATCGCCATTTCTCGGGTACGAAAAGTAGGAATGGATCTGCGTCCTCGCCCAGCGCTGACGCGGCCCTCGTGTCCGGTACAGGTTCAAAATAGGGAGTTGTAGTAGATCGTTCTTCTCCTCCGCTACGGTATCCGCAAAGAAAACGCCGAAGCTGCGCATGCGCGCCGCCAGCCTTGTCTGCATAGTTCAAGGTCTTGTGGCGGATTACGGAGCGCTATCCGGGTGCTTAGCGGGCTGCAGAAACGGACTACTAAAACCAGGACCAACTTAAATACTAAAACTCCCCAATAACTGGCGCACCGGCCGCTAGATGGCGCGTCCGTTTGAAAAGGCTCTCTTGTCGGCCTTGATGTACTCGTACTATCTGAACATTCTAGTTTCGACAAATAAATAAATAAATAATTAAAATTATTAGTATCTCAGTTAACGAACCACGAACAACAAGCCGGAATAAATTTATAACTGGAAGTTATTCGTAACGCCATAATGGTCCGAACTAATCTGTGTCGCCCTAAATCATTAAAGGGACAATGAAGGGAATTTCGGACATCTTTTTGGCGATTGAACTGGGTTCCAGGCACGTCTCGGGCCACGTTGCCCAAATTTCAGCCGAAACCGGCGCTTGTGTGCCGCGCAAATTAATTAAACAGTCGCAGTAATAA